GAGAAGATATACAGAAACAGAGAAAGGTAAAAGCCCAGAGGCAAAAGATAGATGGGACAAGTTAAGAAAAGCTGGCTAGAAATTATTCAAGGTAAGGCTAGGCATTTACAAGTAAGAACAAGACTCTGTGTGTATTTATTTGGAAGCTGGGTGGCAAGTCCCTCCAAAGAACAAAGAATAAAGAATAAAAACAATATTTCGGTGCCCAACGTGGGGCCCGTATTTCCATGTAGGGCCTGAGAAATAGGAAAAATAAAGAAAAGGAAAGGAAAAAGAAAAAGGACCCTGCTCCTTTAAGAGGTGCTGCCTCTCAGCTGGCAGGGCTAAACAGAAACAACAAGCTGAGTAAGACCCACTGTGGCAGCACAGGCACCATATTCTTACAGCTAGGAAGGCTGAATTCAGTTCCTGGCCACACCTCCAACCTGCCTGAGAACTTTAGGCTAGGCTTTCAGGACCCACAGTGAGTGGAGCCACAGCGGGTAGATTCTTGTCTGCAAAAAAAGGGGGGTTGATATTGATATGGTAGGATAAGATAGATAACTGCTGTGGTATAATGCTTTTGCATGCTGTAAATAATTTGTCATTCATATTAGTTTAATAAAACACTGATTGGTCTGTAGCCAGCCAGAGAGTATAGATGGGGCAAACAGACTAAGAGAATTCTGGGAAGAAGAAAGGTGGAGACACAGTCACCAGCAAGACACAGAGGAAGCAAGATGACAGACACACTTTCTCCCACAAGGCCACACCTACTCCAACAAAGTCACCTAGCAATACCATTCCCTATGGCCCTATGTGTGTGTGGGGGTCAATTATATAAAAGTCCAAGTGGGAAGTAGACATGGGCTTCCACCCCTAACAAAGAAGCTATCTACAATTAATACCCTATTGCTAAGGAAAAATAATTTTTCTCCAATGGAGTCTCCCCGGGTCTGTTACCCACACTTCAGGGTAGACCCCATCCATGCACAGTAGTCGGCCAACACAAACGGACTCAATGATAATTTTGTAGACTTGTTTCATATGCTTTGTTTGGGCATTTTTTGTCTTATTAATCACTTGCTTTTATATTTTGGCTTCTGTTTCTGTGGTCTTTGTATGTGTGTTTCCTGTTTTTTATTGTTTGTTTTTTAAAGAGACAGAAAGAAAAGGCTTGGTATTGGGTGAATAGTGAGGTGAGGAGGATGTGGGAGGAGTCTGGGGAGGGGGAAAGTGTAATCAGAATATATTGTATGGAAAGTTTTTTCAATAAAAAGATTTATTTTTGTTTAGTGAGTGTTGAGGGGTGGTGAACTACATGTGTATAGGTGCCCACAGAGGCCAGAGAGGACACTGGACCCCTGAAGCTGGAATTTCACACAGTTGTGAGCTACCAGACTAGATACCTTCAGACAGAAAAATCTGAGCAACAATGAACATAGTAAAATTGTGTTTAATTCCAATAGCATTCGGAGAGACAAAGGGGAACAGATAGTGATTACACAGCTGCTGGGAATCAAACCTTGGTCTTCCAGAAGAGCAGCAAACATCCCTACTGTGCATGCTTACACTCAAATTCTGTCCTTCCTGTTCTACTTGGCTGGCTTTCTGAGGTGGAACAAAGTCATAGCTGGTTCCCCACATGCTCTTACTGCTGATGGACTGGTTCTGAGCTCCTTAGGACAGGTCAGTTGGGGGCTCCAGTGCATGGCTGCAACCCTGCCGTTCCCACATCACTATTCACTGCTCTGGAGTCCCAACTCAGTTTTCATCCTTGCATGAAATGCCTCCCTTTTCTTCCGACTTAAAATCCCTACATCTGTCTTGACCAGGTGCTCTCAGAATCTCAACTACAGCACCTCTCTAGTGACCCGAGGCACAATGGCATCTACTCGGGGATAAGACTCTGCTGTCACTATCCCTACTGGGTTTACATCAGCCTCATATGGAAAACTGGGCATCCGCTTGTGTATAAAGGAAGGCCGTGTTTTCCCTTGATTCCTAGACCTGCCATACAAACAAAAGACGCACTGAACGTTCAGATGTGTGAGTTAAGATACTAAAACTGTAAGCAAGCCCCCAGTTTAATGCTTTTTTAACATAAGAGTTTCCTTGGTGTCTCTTCACAGCAATAGAATGGTGCTTAAGACCCTCAGCATGTTTATTACAAGTAGCTGAACAAGCAGGTAGGTTAGCTAGTCTCTGAGGGGCGTCATCTCAGGCTGCAGTCACCCAGAAGGAGATAGCTGTCATTGAGACTTTCTGTACATACTGTCAACACCTATACCTGGACTGGGGGAAGGCCTTGCCAGTCCTGTGAATCTTTGGCCTCTTTTGACATGGCCATGGTGCTCACATTGTGAATGCTCATTCATACAGGGGTACACTTGCTCCTCACAAGGAGGGGACTAATGGCAGAGTCTGAACTCTTCCTTTAAGCCTGGGTCTCTTTCACAGTGTTATTTTAATGTATGCTGTCCCACCATTGTTTGTTTCTTAGTTATTTCTTTGCGTGGCAGGATGGATGCAAAGCAGGGTGGGGGTTATACTCTGCTTTATCCTTCCTGAGCACTCCTGCTTTGGGAGCAACAATGTGAACGGTCAGCAAGGGCTGGGTTAGGGGCAGCAGTGTGCTGAGGTTAGGCTTCCATTGTTGGTGGCACCTAGGAAGCATGAGATAGGGCCCAGGCAGAAACGGGATCTTGCAGGGAAGTGTGGAAATTGATGTAAGAAATCAAGGATGTGGAGAAGACATTGGTCAAAGAACTAGTATAGAGAATAAATGTTACAGCATAGATGGAAAATGTCCCGGCAGTTGGGAGCCAAGGAATATCACAAAGTCACACCACACAACAAAACTCACACAAGAGATTTATTAGAAGAGAGAAAAAAAAAAAAACAGGATGGTGGCTGTCTCTGCTCAGGCAAGAAACAGCAGGAAACAGAACAGAAGACAGGGTTTATATAGCTTTTCTTGGGTGGGGGCAGAGCTTTCCAGGATGAAGATTGGTGAAAATTTCAAGTCCAGAGTTTGGTGGGTGGAGGAGGGCAGTTAGAATGTTCTATGGGTGCAGTTGGAGGTCCTAAGGGGAGGGGCTAGGCCAATGTGTGTCTCAAGAGTCTTACCTGGGAAATTGGAGAGTCAGTCAAATCCTGGCTGGCAACTGCTACTAGTAGGCTTACTTGAAAAATTAGTGTGTAGTGGCCAGACAGATGGAAGAAGCATAGAAATAGGAGGAGAAGGGGGAGGAAGTGGGTGAACAGCAGGAGGAGAGAGGAGGAAGAAGTGGAAGAAAAGCAGATAGAGGAAGAGGAGGAAGAAGGAAAAGAGGAAGAAGAGAAAGAAGGAAGAGGACATGGAGGAAGAGGAGGAAGAAGAAGAGAAAGAAGAGGGCATGGAGGAAGAGGAGGAAGATGTAGGGTAAAAGGGCCAGTCAAAAAGAAACACACCCTGACCCTGAAACCAGAGCCAAAGGTAAAGAATGGCCAGTGAAAGAAACACACTTTGGCCCTGAAACCAGAGCCAAAAAACCACACTCTGCCCCTGACAAACTCTGCACAAAAACTAGCCAATCACTGAGCAGGAAAACCAATCCTTGAACACGAAATCCAGCCAATCTCTGAGCTTGTCCAAATTCAGGGACTGAAATCTGACCAATTCCCATCCTGAAACTCTTCACCCTGCAAAGACTGTGCCCCTAAGAAGTTTATATAAGCCCTGCACCTGCTCAGCTGTTCCCCACCCTGGCATAGGCAGCCACCCACCTGGATTCTTCCCAATAAATCTCTTGGATAAGGTTTCACCTGGGGGAGTAGAGTTGTTACACTCTGGAGGACCTGAGCAGATCTGTTACTATTTCCCTGGGGAAAGCCTCCCCTGCTGGAGCAGAATTGTTACATTGGGGAAACCTTTCCCAGGAGCAGAGGTGCAAGCTACTCTGTTGTTTACTGTGACTTTGTGATAATCTTTGGCTCCAGGCTGCTAGGAGCCCTTTCCATCTGAGCTGTAATGCTTACAGAAGAGGGGGGGGGGGGAGGAAGAAGAGGAACTAGGCAATGGGGCAAGGCTCTGACACCAGGACCCAGCTGCTTAAAGAGGCATTATAACATAATTAGGAAAATAAATGTCCGGGACAGTGGTCAATTAAAAGGTAAAGTTCTTAACTATTACACTATGATCCAAATAAACCCTGCAGATTTAAAAGGAAAAAAATGATCACAGCGACCATACTCCCAAGGGTCAAATAAGTGGGGTAGGAGGCAGCAGAGGTCTGTTTTCATTTCATCTGGAGAGTGCAGATTCCTCCACATCGACTTGTACTTGATGACACACATCAGCACCGTCTATGAAAACACCAAAACAGCATTCTGTTGTCGCAACTTCTGGTGGAGGTGGGGAGGAGGTAGGGAGATGGTGGGGAGGCATAATCGGCCCAAATGGAGATTCTGAGAGGATTTGTTCGCTTGTTGAGAAAGGATCTCACTATGTCACCCAGGCTGGCAGGGCAGTCAAGATACTGTCCTCTTCAAAGTTAGAATTCTGAGGAAGGTTTTCTTGGAGATGAGTCTTCAGCCGCATGAAGATCCACTCTAAGGGAGCTCCATTCCAAGACTGCGAGCAGACCTTGAGCATAGCATCTGGCTCCTCCTCCTAGCGGTGCACATGTTGGACACTTGAATGCCCAGTAGTTCATGAGCCTGGCACGCGCACTGAGCACTGTCGGTTGCCTGAAGTGATTGGTGCCCAGGTCCACTCTGGAGCATGCGCACACGGCGTTCCTTGGCAACGACAGTTCTGCCAACTGCCTAAGAGGTGGAGGGATGTTAAACTTGGGGCTTCTCTGTGGGCGCATCCTGGCGAGATTCCGAGACTTGGTTGGCTCTGCATTAGTACTGGAAGTGGCTAACATTGGGACCCAGAGGTATTGGGTTCCTGTGAGCACTGCACTAAGGCTGTTAACGGGAGAAGGGAAGGCAATATAAGCAAGAGTCCAGGGTGAAGGGCCGCAGTCTGAGTCATGAAGAAGATCTTCAAGGGCCATTTGCCCTGGGGCTTCCTGGGCTTTAGAAATGCCAACGCTGAGAACCAAGAATGGCACAGGTACCTCACGGGCTACATACCTGTGAAGAAGATACACAAAGCTGCAAGCATGGGAGACATAACCCAAGTGCAGAGAATGCTCGAATTTGGGGATGTGGACGTGAACGTTACAGACCGGAAAAAAAGGTCAGAGGGCGCAGGGTGGGGGTGGCCCGGAACAGGTATGAGTGAGTGGCAGCGGCGTCCTAGGAGAGGTCTTGGCCCCTAAATACTGGAGAAAGGAGGCCGAGGCCTGCTTTCACAGGGGACGCTGGGCTTTCTCCCCACCACGGGCTTCTCAGCACCTGAAAACTGCACACTGTGGATGGGTCTAGAGTCTAGGCATTCTTAATGAGAAGCAAAGAAGAAGAGAAAGAAGGAAGACTTACTTCCTTCTTAGTTGGTCTCCAACCCCCATAATATTCTGCTTTCAGAGCGCTTTACTGACAGTTTAAATGTGATTTCACCCACACAGTTGAGATACACAGCATTTTCTGTAAATGTGCACATGAACGAACTGCTTGTTGCTGTGGAATCCCAGGACAAAACTTCATTCAATAAAATCCCATATTCATTTTATCTCTCGGGAACTAGGGATTACCTGTTACTTCCTGAGGGACCTTACATGGCAGCTGAAGCGAGAGGCTATTTATCTTCAGAGTCGGTTATTCAGCGTGGCCATCTTCACTTACCATCTACTGATCAGCTATTAGTCCTTCTGGCTCCTAAGTGGGATAGTTTGATTAGCAGCGGTCTTCATCAGAGGGTGCGTGACGCTCTCAACTTCCCACAAGAGCCCCACTAGCTTCAGTTGCTTCCTTGATGCTGAAGCGGATTGTTCCCTGGAGACTTTCTCAGTTCTGAGACTATGGAAGCAGTGCAGCTTGCCAGTGTGGTCCCTACTCCAGGCAGACCTCAGTCAACAAGCCGTTCCAAATCTCCCATTGTCTCTGCTGTGATGCCATCCCCGCTGGGATCCTCCAGGTTTAACTGTGCTCTCTTCTCAGCACTGCTGAGTAGAAAGAAAGAAATTCCAATAGGTTCCTCTGCTTTGGAGGAAAAGTGGCCCACTAGCTTCAGTTGCTTCCTTGATGCTGAAGCGGATTGTTCCCTGGAGACTTTCTCAGTTCTGAGACTATGGAAGCAGTGCAGCTTGCCAGTGTGGTCCCTACTCCAGGCAGACCTCAGTCAACAAGCCGTTCCAAATCTCCCATTGTCTCTGCTGTGATGCCATCCCCGCTGGGATCCTCCAGGTTTAACTGTGCTCTCTTCTCAGCACTGCTGAGTAGAAAGAAAGAAATTCCAATAGGTTCCTCTGCTTTGGAGGAAAAGTGAGGGCAGTCCCTGTTGCTGCCTAGTCTTACCGGCTTAACGCTGTACAGTAGCTCTCGGGCATGCTCTCTCTCACAGGACTGCTCTGCACTACGCCTGCGCTCACGGCCAGGCTGAAATGGCGGCCCTCTTGCTATGGTATGAATGCAACATTGAAGCCCGAGACAGCGACCTAAGTACAGCTCTGATCAAGGTAATTAGGGCCGACAGGTGCAGCCGTAGACGGAGGAGTATAACTCCTGATATCCAGGTGTGGGAGGCCTGTACCCCATCATGTGGGAGGCGGACATGGGGCCCGTAGTACTGTAGTACTGGAGGCAGAGGCTTGAGGACTGTGCCACACAAACCCAGGACATGCAGGTTTCATTACAGCCTGGGATACATGAGAACACAGTCTCAAAACTTTTTTTTAAACTTGAATAAAAATGAATTTCTGACATTTAAATGTAACTATTTGGTGGAACTTGTGGAAAGATTATCTCGAATTACTTTAGCTGACAGTCTTTCCCTTGGGACAATATCCACAGGCAGCACAGCGCCAGCACGAGGAATGTGTAAAGGTTCTCCTGGAAAACGGTGCTGACTCAAATGCCATTGATGCAAATCAAAACACGGCTCTCCACTATGCAGTCTACAACAACAGCACCTCCATAGCTGCCAAACTTCTGGAGTTCGGAGCAGACACTGAAATTAAGGCAAAGGTAACACCCATCTTTATTTCCCAGATAGTTTAAAGGCATTCTCCTGGAACCATTTCCACATATAGAAGCTAAAGTGAGCATTCCTTAACTAAAAATGGTTTATGTATCCACAAAAAATATTTGAGAAAACTGTATTAATATAAGTATAAGAAGCTTGCAGAATACCAAATAGACTAGACAAAAAAAAAAACTCCCCATAACACATAGTAATCAAAACACTAAACATACAGAATAAAGAAAGAATATTAAGAGCTGCAAAGGAAAATCCAAATAACATATAAAGGCAGACCTATCAGAATTACACCTGACTTCTCAGTGGAGATCTGAAAGCTAGAAGGTCATGGACAGATGTTTTGCAGACACTTAGAGACCATGGATGGAAGCTTAAACTACTATACCCATCAAAACTTTCAATCACCATAGACAGAGAAAACAAGATATTTCATAACAAAACCAGATTTAAAAATACCTATCCACAAATCCATACCTACATCTCTAGTACCTACAGAAAGTACTAAAAGGAAACTACAACCCAAGAAAGTTAGCTGCATCCATGAAAACACAGGCAATAAATAATCTCACATCAGCAAAACCAAAAAGAGAAACGCACACACACACACACACACACACACACACACACACACACACTATCACCAAAACAAAAAAATAACAGGAATTAACAATCATTGATCATTAATATCTCTTAATATCAATGGACTCGATTCACCTCTAAAAAGAAACAGACTGATGGAATGGATAAAAAAATAGGATCCATCCTTCTGCTTCGTACCAGAAACATTCCTCAAATTCAAAGACAGGCATTCCCTCAGAGCAAAGCATTGAGAAAAGATTTTACAACCAAATGGACCTAAGACTCAAGCTGGTGTAGCTATCCTAATATCTAGCAAAATGGGCTTTAAACTAAAATTAATCAAAAGAAATGAAGAAGGATATTTCACATTCATCACAGGAAAAAAATCCATCAAGATGAAGTTTCAATTCTGAACATTTACACTCCAAACACAAGGGCACCAGCATTTGTAAAAGAAACATTACTAATGCTTAAATCACATACAAACCCCACACACTAATAGTTGGAGACTTCAACACCCCACTCTCACCAATGGACAGGTCTGCCAGACAGAAACTTAACAGAGAAATAAGGGAACTAACAGATATTATGACCCAAATGGACTTAACAGGCATCTATAGAACATTCCACCCAAACACAGAATATACCTTCTTCTCAGCACCTCATGGAACAATCTCTAAAATTGACCACATACTCGGTCACAAAACAAACCTCAACAGATACAAAAAAGTTGGAATAACCCCATGTATCTTATTAGATCAACATGGAAAAAAGTTAGAATTCAACAACACAAACTACAGAAAGCCTACAAACCCATGGAAACTGAAAAACTCTCAACTGAATTACTACTGGGTCAAGAAAGAAAGAAATGAAAGATTTCCTAGAATTCAATGAAAATGAATGCACAACATACCCAAACTTATGGGACACTGTTGACTGAGTTTCTGTCCTGCCTGATTCCCACAGTCATTAAGTCCCAAAGAAATCACACAGAGGTCTACATTAACTATAAACTGATTGGCCCATTAGCTCAGGCTTCTTCTTAACTCATAACGTATATTAGCCCATTATTCTAGTATATGTTAGCCACATGGCTCAGTACCTTTTTCAGTGAGGCAATCACATCTGGCTTCTTCTGGGACTGGGCCAGGACTCCAGAACAGGACCTTCTTCTTCCCAGAATTATCCTGTTCTCCTTGACCTGCCTTTATTTCCTGCTGGTTGGGGGGGCTGATAATCTTATGGCGACCTAAAGAAAATTTAGAATATGATCAAGTCCTAACTGGACTATCCTGTGAGTCTTGATCATCTCAGGCAGCAGTCTTGAATCTGTTCTCGATGTAGAACTCAGATATCTGAGGCATCTGTTTCTATTAGAGATTTCTCAGGTGGTTTTCCTTAATCAAATCTGATTTTTCTTAACTCAGAATGAATCCACAGTCTTATTTCCTGTGGAAACAAAAGCAAAACTTCTTCTCCAAAGTAACATACCTTTTGACTTCAATTTTGAAGTCAGGGTACTTTCAAAGTACCTATCTTGGATTAATTCAGCAGCATTTATAAACAAGTATCTTTTGGCAGCTGTTGTACCTTCCTCAGCATTCAAACAACTAAAAGAGAACATAATAACATACAGTATCAAGATTCTCTGTGTGTTTTCCATCTTTACATGGCTTTATTTTATTTTATTATTATTATTATTTTTTTTGGTTTTTCGAGACAGGGTTTCTCTGTGGCTTTGGAGCCTGTCCTGGAACTAGCTCTGTAGACCAGGCTGGTCTCAAACTCACAGAGATCCACCTGCCTCTGCCTCCCGAGTGCTGGGATTAAAGGCGTGCGACATGGCTTTATTTTAAACTCTATTTCTTTTATTTTTAGTTTTTGGCTTTTTGAGAAAGGATTTCTGTGTATCTTATCCTGGAACTCACTCTGTAGACCAGGCTGTCCTTGAACTCAAAGAGATTTGCCTGTCTCTGCCTCCCAAGTGCTGGGATTAAAGGTGTGTGCTACCACACCTTGAACTCACAGAGGTCTGCTGCCTCTGTCTCCCAAGTGTTGAAATTAAAGGTGTGTACCACCATACCCAACTACTCTCTTTCTTTCTTTTTTATTTTAAGGACTTTAACCTTTTTCTTTTCTCTCCCAAGCCTGCATATATTTTAACACATTGTAAATCATTTAGAGGTTTTCTTCATCTTTGAATCTCTCTTTACTGTATATCTCTCTTTTTCTGACCACTTGAGTTTTTAATTTGCTAAGCAATATGAAGAGGATTAAAGCCATGGCTTTGATGGCTGATCCAGCCCATTTCTTAGCTTTCTGAGATTCCAGCCTCATGGCAGAGGTACCAGCTATAGCCAGGTCTATTGCCACAACTCTATGGCATTTCAAGGTCACTACCAGCAAGCAAGCTGCAACAATGTGCTCACAAACCACACTCAAATGCTCTGTAGCTAGACCTCAGCAAGAGATGCTGAGGAAATCAGAGAATCATCAGGTCATACTTCAAAAACCTGTACTCCACAATATTGGAAAATCTAAAAGTAATGGACAATTTTCTTGATAACTACCACATACCAAAGTTAAATTAAGACCAGATAACCAAATTAAATAGACCTGTAACCCATAAGGAAATAGAAATAGTCATCAAAAGCCTTCCCCCAAAAAAAGCCTAGGGTCAGATTGTTTGAGCAGAGACTTCCACCAGAATTTCAAAGAACAGCTAATACTGATACCCCTCAAATGTTCCATGCAATAGAAGCAGAAGGAACACTGCTAAACTCTTTTTACGAGGCTACAGTTACCCTCATACCAAAACCACACAAAGATACAACTAAGAAAGGGAATTACAGACCAATCTCCCTCATGAACATTCATGCAAAAATATTCAATAAAATACTGGCAAACTTAATCCAAAAGCACATCAGAAACATCACCCACCATGATCAAGTAGGCTTCATCCCAGAGATGCAGGGATGGTTTAACATACAAAAAACTGCCAATGTAATCTACCATATAAGCAAACTGAAAGAAAAAACCCATATAATCATCTCATTAGATGCTGAAAAATCCTTCAATAAAATCCAACTCCCCTTCATGATAAAGGTCTTGAAGACATCAGGGATACAAGGAACATTCCTAAACATAAAAAGGCAACATACAGCAAGCCAACAGCCAATATCAAACTAAATGGAGAGAAACTCAAAAGCAATTCCACTAAAATAGGAAAAAGACAAGGCTGTCTACTCTCTCCATATCTATTCACTATAGTACTTGAAGTTCTAGCTAGAGCAATAAGACAACAAAAGGAGATAAAGGGAATACAAATTAGAAAGAAAGAAGTCAAACTTTTGCTATTTGCAGACATGACAGTATACACAAGTGGCCCCCAAAATTCTACCAGGGAGCTCCCATAGCTAATAAATACCTTTAGCTATGTAACAGGATACAAGATTAGCTAAAAAAAAAAATCAGTAGTCCTTTTATATATAGATGATAAATGGGCTGAGAAAGAAATCAGAGAAACATCAAGTGTCACAATAGCCACAAACAACATAAAATATCTTCAGGTAACTGTAACCAAACAAGTGAAAGACCTGTATGACAAGAACTTTAAATTGTTGAAGAAAGAAATTGAAGAAGATATCAGAAAATGGAAAACTCTCCCATGCTCAAGGATTGGTAGGATTAACATAGTAAAAATTGCAATATTAGCAAGTAAATCTACAGATTCAATGCAATACCAACGAAAATCATAACACAATTCTTCACAGACCTTGAAAGAACAGTACTCAACTTCATATGGAAAACCAAAGAACCCAAAATAGCTAAAACAATCCTGTACAATAAAGGAACTTCTGAAGGTGTCACCATCCCTGACTTCAAGATCTACTATAGAGGTATAGTAATAAAAACAGTTTGGTATTGGCATAAAACAGACATGTGGATCAATGGAATCAAATTGAATACCCTGACACAAACCCACACACATATGAACACCTGATTTTGACAAAGAAGCCTAAATTATACAATGGAAAAAAGAAAGCATCTTCAACAAATTGTGCTGGCATAACTGGATGTCTGCATGTAAAAGAATGCAAATAGATCCATGTCTATCACCCTGCACAAAACTCAAGTCCAAGTGGATCAAAGAGCTCAACATAAATCCAATTACATTGAACCTGATAGAAGAGAAAGTGGGAAGTAGCCTTGAATGCATTGGCACAGACTATACTTCCTGAATATAACACCAGTAGCACAGATACTGATATCGACAATTAATACATGAAACCTCTTGAAACTGCAAAGCAAAGGACATGGTCAACAAGACAAAATAACAGCATACAGAATGGGAAAAGATCTTTAACAACCCATCATCTGACAGAGGGCTAATCTCCAAAAAGAACTC